AGGTTAGTTCAGGAGTCACAACCCAAATGATAACATTTTGTCCTTTCGACAAAAATCAAATCACCTTGGGGGCCTCAACATTTAATGTCCAGTATGTCTCAGTATGTGTTAATGTCCTAGTATAGTAGGGGTGGGAATCTTTAGGCACCTCACGATTCGAATCGATTACGATTCAGAGGGCTGTGATGCGATTATAAAACGATTATCGATGCATCTCAATGCATCTTTTTTTTCTATATAGCATTTATATTTTCTCACTGTGTGAGCTCAAGTTTTGAGTTCAAGTTTCAAGTTTATTTGTCACTTGCACAACATGTCAGGACATTTATGCATTGAAATGCTTGTGGTGAGGCTCAGCTAATCACTCTAGAGAAAGTAAATAAGTAAAAATACAAGAAAAACCAACTGAAATATATTAAATATACACAATATACACAGAATATAGAGACAATATACATTTTAAAGTGACTAAGTGACTCTGTGTTATTGTTATTTAAAGTGACTTGGTACTTTTAAAGCAAAGTATTTGTAATGATCAATAATGAATTTACTTCCAATATCTTTTTTAATAAATCAAATGGAAGTGATGTGGCAACTGAACTAGAAGGCTCTCATTCAGTGCTTTTGTTTGGAGCATGAGAAGTTGCTGCCACTCATCTGCGATAAAATGCGCAATTGGTTTTTCTTGTATTTTTATTTTTACTTATTTACTTTCTGTAGAGTGATCAGCTGAGCCTCACCACAAGCATTTCAATGCATAAATGTCCTGACATGTGCAAGTGACAAATAAACTTGAAACCTGAACTTGAAACTTGAGCTCACACAGTGAGAAAATATAAATGCTATATAGAAAAAAAGATGCATCGATAATCGTTTTATAATCGCATCGCAGCCCTCTGAATCGTAATCAAATCGAATCGTGAGGTGCCTAGAGATTCCCACCCCTAACATACATACACACACACACACACACACACATATATATATATATATATATATATATATATATATATATATATGCAACACCCTAACAACCTGGAACACCATAACAACCTCTTAGCAACACCATAGCAACTACCTGTAATTCCTATATAAACCTAAATAAATTATCAAAAACAATCAAGTGTTCTGCTGGTTTGTCTTTTGAAGCGTTATTAGCTAGTTTTGTCAAGCCAACTTAAACTTCATTCAAAAAGTTTCCCTTTCTAGTTACAAGATCTCATAGATATAGGACAAAGTCAAAAGCTACGAAGTCATTACGAGATTAGAGGTGCGTTTTCTCATGATTATAATACATTTTCCAATTAGTATGACATACTAAAATTTGCATTTCTATGTATAATTTCTTTTGGAAAGAAAGTGGAAGTGGAAGAAACCATACACATTCCACACACTAATAAAATAGCCTTAGAAGTATTCTTTTAGTCAGATGCCATAAGCCTTTATTGAATATTACTATAATCGATTACAACATTCCAATATCGATGCAGTTGAATCGCCACCTTCAGACTGGTGCATCTTGATATATTTTTACACTGATACTGAAGGCCATGTATGAGGTTTGGTTTTGGAGCATGTACTCGTAGTGGCACTCAGCACTATGCCAACTATGCTGGACTGATGTGAGGTATGTAATAAGCTGCTACTGGAGAACAGAATTTGAGACCTCTGAACCACAGAACCGTGCCAGTCAGGTCCCCTCCATAGGTCTGTCTCTGATCTGTGTGGCTGTTCGACTCTGTGATGTCAGCCCACTACTGCGTGCTATAAATGTTCATGAATGAGCAGCCAAGCTGCCTGTCATGACTGAAATGACGCATTCTGTACAACTGACACCATCAGTTACGTTAAGTCTAGCCCGGAGGCGCTCAGTGGAGGTGCGGCTCATGTGGGACGTGCAGACTGAGCAGACGTATGGAGCCAGTGTCAGGGCAAATGTACATTAGCCACTCACCTGTTGAGAAATGCACTGTTGGAAGTCCAGTCAGGATCCTGTTGTGGAACACAGAAAAACATTACACAGACTGAACCAGGCTTAAACTCCTGATCTGATCAAGAACTGTGCAAAAGTCAGAGACCGCCTTTCATTCATTTCACTTCCAGTCAAAACAACCTTTCAGTACAAGTTAAGCAAAAGCAGCAAACATATTTAATGGAAATTAACATTGAAGCCTCAACAACTAAAGATAATCTCCAGAGATATTGCAGCTGCAAAGTTCGGACTTAGGAATTGGCTGCCGTTTCTGCTTCTCACAATCCAAACAATCCCAAACACATTAAATGATTCTGAGGTCTGGACTCTGGGCTGACCAGTCCATTGCTTTGAGAAGAGCAGCAGCTTCTTTGTTTTATTTGCATATTTTCTTCTCTCGTGTCTTTTTCTTTTTCTTGACAGACACACATCCTTCTACACATCCTTTCAGACTTATAATGTTGAGATGTCTTCTCACAGTGGAAGGATGGACAGAAACACAAACAGTTTTGGAGTTCCATTTTCTTGACATCTTTTAATAATTTTTTAAATCCAGTTTTGGAAACTAGTGTTTTTTTTCACATATTTTCCTTTTGTTTTCCTTCCTTGCAAGTGGATAATTTTATATCTAGTCTCTTCATACTTATCCCCTCAGAAAAACGTAGTTTTTAACAGCCATTTTAACTGAAATGAAATGAATGAAGGCTGGTCTCTGACTTTTGCACAGTACTGCGCATGTTTGCACTTTTTTTTGCACTGTTCTTTAGATGTGAGATCACTTATCTCATATATAATTTCTTTCCTTAATTCAAACACAGCTTAAATATATAGACTGAAATATTATGAACTGAGGTATTTTTAGATGATTTCTCCATTTTTTAAAAATTATTCTATATACTATGTAAGCTGTAATCAGGGCGACACAGCAAGAAGGGCCTGGGTTCGATTCCCCAACCGGGTGACCAGGGTCCTCTCTGTGTAGAGTTTGCATGTTCTCCCTGTGTCTGCATGGTTTCATCCGGGTACTCTGGTTTCCTCCCAAAGGCCAACTGGATACGCTAAATTGCTCCTAGGTGTGAATGTATATGTCTGTGTGTCTGCCTGCGATGGACTGGCAACCTGTCCAGGGTGAATCCTGCCTTCGGGCCCAATGATAGGCTCCAGGTCCCCATCCCCCACCACGACCCAGAAGTTTTTTTCTGAAAATGTGTGCATGTTTGTGTGTGTATACTATAATCTACATGTAGTAATTTCTTGTCAGCTTATTTGTTTTGAAATTTTATCACCACTTTTAAAAAACGTGGCATTCCAGAGCTGGGCAAGTAATAGAATTTTATTTTCAATCATGATTTTGGTCCAGCGTTTATGAAAACAAGATAACCGGGACCAAATGATTATTGTGCTCTCATTTTGTCTTGTGTTATAAATCCAGTGCAGCCCTTTCCTTTATTTTTTGATTATATTATATTATATTAAGGTATAGTTGATTTCAGCTGAATTATAGTTGAAGTTCAAGGAAAACTACATTAAAAAGACAAGTTTTTAAAAATTAAAAAAATGGATGATGTTTCCAAAGTTAACATGTAACCATGATCTGAATAATGACCAAAATAATCATGCTTATGATTTTTTTTTGCAATGATCAAGCAGCCTTATGGCATTCTGGATGTTAATTTTTGTACAATGTAATTCTTACTATTTAAAAGTCACTTTAGAATCATCTACATCTCCATTCATCATTATGGATGTAAAATTTCTCATTTTTTCCAGCTACTACTAATTATATGAAATCTATTAAGTCACACAGTGCCAACATCACATTAGAGCCATGCACATGAATCTAATTGGGGTTTTAAAGTGTAAGGGAAGAGTTAGTAAAACGGCTTTGAACGTGTTTAAAAATGATTCTTGAAAGCTAAGTGAGCATCGTAACAAATCGATACAGGATTTCCTCTGATTTACAGTCCATTTCATTCATCAAAAGGATAAACACAACGCAATTTGTCAAGAAAAGAAAAGAGAAGCATATTTCAAACGCGGCTCTTTTACACATGAGCAGGGTTTAGTGCTGTGTTAGAGAAGCTAAAGCAAAGCAGGTGTTTGAGGAAACTTCAGAAGCATCAGCAGAGCTGTTGAAAGTTCCCAGGCAAGCCAGGGCAGAGCACAGGGATAGAGGAGTGAGTGGGGGATGTGAACTCGGAGGAAAAGAGGGACAAAGAGAGAATGGAGGCAGAGAATCATCCATCAATCATTCCCGACAAGGCCCCGCTACCACTTTATTGTGTCTATATCCGTTCACATTGTACCGTGCTGATCATTTTTGTTGCAAAGATCAGTGCAATATTAACATGCGTTGTTAGTTCTCCCATAACTGAAATGACAACAACTGTTAGCTGCAAATTTGTCTTCAGGTGCATAAGGCGAGTACATCAGTCTTGATTAACGACTTGCCAAAGTTCTTTTCAACTCATCTTTTAAATTACCTTTACAAACGTACAGCAATGTGACTACACAGCATAATAACAGTTTGACTTTTCTGAATGTTTAATCTGTTTGTGTGTGCTGGTGTTTTATGTTACATAAAAATCTAAAGTAAGCATAATTCAACATGTAAAGTTACATGAAATACAAGCATAGATGTTCTGTTTAAGATCGTGTATTTCAGATTCATTTCCTAAGTAAGTCCTTTGTGACACTTTTCTTGCCATTCACTTCTGCAAAAAATTTTAGAATGTGTAAAACTAGTAAAAAAACAATGATCAGACAAAAGGATTTGTCGTTTTCCACTCATATTACAGAAACACAATGTGCTAACTAGTTTAACATGAGCCTCTTGTGGCTGCAGAAGTTGCCCTTTGATATTGAACCAACAGAGCACACTTAATACTTATACTGACCTATAAACTGACACATTAATACTGTCCTCTATTGCTAATTGAAGGTTAACAATAGTCCCAAACGAATCAGGAAAAAAAGTGGAGTAAACCAGTCTATGAAGGGTAATCAAATAAAGACAATACAAACAAGATCTGGATTGGCTCCTTTAATAGCACACCGCTGATATAGTACAAAATGCAAGTAAAGTACAAATAGTGTCCAAATGGAGTAAAAATACCTTATATTACTTGTGGTAATACTGTTCAACTCTCACTCTTAACTTTCTGGCTGAGCTAGTCACAGCAGTGAACTAGATGTAGACTGTGCATTCAATGACATAAACACACAACACCAACACTGTAAAAGTTGAATCAGTCAACCTAAGACATAAGTAGTGTTATTCAACCTCTCCAACACTCTGCTTTTAGGGTTAAAAGGCCAATTTTCTGGACACTGCACAGGACTAGTGCGATACCTAGATAGCTTTCACTGACAAAGCAAATTAGTTTTAAAGTAGGCTTTGAACTGTGTCTGGAAAACGGGCTAAAAGTGAGTTTTGTTTTTTCTCCATGTTTTAACAGTGTTCCCAAGATTTGTAACTCAAAAAAAAAATCCTGTGACACAGTGGTGGTGACAGGACCCAGGGGTCACCATTGCTGCATCACAAATATAGACATTATATATACTATCCAAAACAACCAGTCAACCTTTGAGTTTTTATATGTAATGTTGAAAATGGTAAAATAGTGGTAAATCAGAAAAACATTTCTTTGGGCCACGTTTACCTTACTATGCCCTGCATATACCTCTCTGCCATGAACAGATTTTGAAAAATATAGGTTTAAGGCTAAAACCTCAAGCATCAGGCAATGTATTTGTAACCATTTTATGTAACAACTTTCTGTGAGAACTTTTAAAGTTATTAAACACCGTGGATGTCTGGTTCCCATCTTCACCACCATGAACAATTCTGTTGGAATGGAGCATATTACATCAAACCCCTCTGAATGACTTTGTTTACATCTCAAAAATTGAATTATGCAGAAAGTTTGAAAAATGTGAACTTTTCTGTTTGTTTTAAGTAACTTGTCTTATTCCATTGCTTATTTTGCTTAATTCAAGAAATAATGTAGATAATTCTGCTCTTTTTAAAAAATTATACTTGGAACACTGGACACTTCCAGGTGATAAAATTGCTTAAAACAAGAAAAAAAAGTCTATAAAATAAGTTAAATCACTGTATGATATTCTTACAGAATCTCAGAATGAGAAATATTAAGATATTTTGACTAGATTTAAGATGATTTCACTTGCTATCATTTTTTGCAGTGAAGGTTCAGTCATACTGTGACCTACACATTTTTGCACGTATGGTTCCTCCATAAAAGTGGCTTATCAGTCACTTTACTGAAGGAAAAGAACAAACAATATTGACTAGATGCTTTTTTTCAGAGGCAACCAGAGATGACAGAGGTAACAGGCAACAATGGCTTTGTGATGAAGAAAAAAAAATGCCCCTACTTTAAAACATAAGGATAAGCATTTTAGAGAGAATTAAACATTTATGTTAATTCACCCTTCAAGCAAAGAATACACAATAAAAATAAGTAAAAGAAAAAACACTTTGGCAAGTGAAAATCAATAGCGAGAGAAGGTCTACACATTAAAATAACTTAAAAAAATGACACAAAAGGAATATAACACAAAAGAAGCCAGATCATTTGACCCTGAAAAGAATCTGCCCAAAAATATCTGCCCACTGGTCCACAAATGCTGCAACTAATTCCTATGAAAAGTATGATGCAGACTTTCTTTCCCCTCTTTGAAATGCTCTGTTTATGGGATTAGGGGTTAGGAGCTGTTTAATGACAGTGGCTATGCAGTTCACTCAGACTGTTTGGAAACGTGGGGTTCGACAAAGTGGGCTGAATGGAGTGGAGCTTCTAAATTAAACTCGAACACATCTATGCAATGCAGCTGCATTACTTTTATACACTGAAGTTTATGGACATTCCTGAGGTAGACAGGTCTCGTAAATGGCTTAAAGTACAAATTAAAATATTAATATACTGTTCTGTATGACTAAAATATCAAGCCCTTTAATTTCTTGGATAAAGCAAATTAGAGGTTTACGCTATTTCTATGTTCCCTGCAGTGTTTCCAAACATTCATAGCAATATGTTTGAGCAAGTTTGGGTTCTTTTGTTTAGTTCTATAAGGCAAGTTGGTCAAACAGCAAAAAAAGCAGGAGGAGGCACAAAAGGAAATAGAAAAGGAGGCAGAATGAGGTTAGGAGAGAGGAAAAAGAAAGGAACGAGAGTGAGAAGGTCACCACACAGAGATAAACTGAAGCAGGAACGGACAGAGGGGCAGGGCAAAGCGACGTTAATGAGTCAGTAGCTTAAGCCTGGTGATCCAACTGACCAGTAGCGAGGGCTCCGCGGGGGGCCTTTTTGGGGTGGAGGTCATGGGGGTCTTTTTGGTAAAGTCCTCCTGATAAGGGATGGTAGCGCTGTTGTGGAGGTCTACGTTGACGAGAAATCGGCTGTTCCGCACGTGGTCCACCCCTCGCACGTATCGTTCCCCTGTTGATTTGTACGATCGTCCTGTGGTAGGGATCTCCTCGGCGATAGTGGGTATGCGCTCGTTGCTGAGGTATCTGTACAACAGATCCTCACCTAGACCAGAGGAAAGATGATCAGAAAAGTTAGAGGATGTTTGCATACAAGTGGAGAAAAAATATATCTAGTGAACTTTATTTTAATCCACAAAGGTGGGGAATGGAGGGCCATTAATCCTGCCAGTTAACTGCTGAGTTGAATAAGATGTGTTTCAGCTGAGAAATTAGCAAAATGTGCAGGAATGGACTTCTCCACCACTGCCTTAGAAGTTGCAGTTGTTGCAAGTAATAACAAAAGCTGAGCATAATTTTACATTAATGACCTCTCACTTCTCACTCTCAAGCAGAGAGATTCTGCTGAAAGTGCAGATTTTAAATTTTTAACTGACACCACATTTGAATTTGTGAGTAGAAGAGGAGATGTTTTATGATGACTTGAATTTAATGAAGTTACTGTTGTGTGTTCGGACTTGTTTTGTGGAAAGAAAACTATTCTTTAGCTTTTGCCATGTTTCTGTCATTGTCTGACACTGAAACAAACAGAAAAAGATCACAAGTGTATGCTTGAACCTGTTTTAGAATGTGATCTGAATCTAAATGTAATTAATTACAATACTCACTATATAATTTAATATGTGAACATATTTAAATAATTGTAATTTAAATCAGATGAATAGCAACATGACTATACAATTCTAGAGTTCTAAATTGCAGCATATGATGAATTGGTCAAAACCAGGCAAAGATCTAAAAAGCCTTATGATGAGACTATTAAGTGTGCTTGATTGAGGTTTGACACTAAATATAGCCCCTGATAATGTAATGCCAAAGTGAATGTCTCAGCTCATATTAATGACTAGAGTAGCTAAATGACTGAAGCACGTGTTCACTGCTTGTGCAGCGGCTTTTCCTTTTGTTAAAGATGGACGAGTAGAGGTCAAAACATTCAAGTAAACTGATAGTTTAATTAACTTAAACAAATTAGATTGCGGCCAGTGTGATGGAGGTGCTTGAGGTGTTGTTTTTGTGGATAGCAGCATGTCACACACCTTTCCATCCTTGTGTCCAAGGCCTGCTGTAAGGGTCTGTCACATTTAGGCACGTGTCTGCAGGCATGGAGAGAGGCCGTGGCTTACCTGTAACAACAATATGGGGAGAAAATAGCTAAGCAGAGGGCTAAACACCGGCTTACAATTAGCTGTATGATAGGCATATTAAGATATGATGTAATTTAGTAATTGGCCAATATGCCCTGCACATTTTAGTGTTTTTTGTTCAACACCCACATTCGCTCACAGAGGGATCATAATTTAGCCGATTAGTTGGACTGAGTGTGTTAGAGCAGGGAAAACACCTAAGTATGCAGAGCAGGGTCATTCAAGAGCACAGATGTAAATAATGCCATAACATTAAATGCTAACTGTGCTGTATCTGTATCTGCTACTGACCACGTGAGGAGCTTCTCTCTCTCAGGCGAGTCTGCACCACGTTGGCCTCCACAGGATAGACAGTTAGCTTGTCGTACTCTGCGATGGTGAAGCGCCGACGGCTCTCCAGGTCCAGGAAAGAGTTAGGAGACTCTGAGCCTTTAGGTCTGTTGTTCACGCTGCTGAAGGAACTGGTCCTCACTTCCCTATAATGTAAGATACTGTTTATTGACTTAGTCATGGAAAGACTGCATAAAACTGCATCAGTAAGTCAGTCTGAAGATAGTGAAGGAATTTTATACTGTAATTGTGTTTTGAAATGCTGGAACTTATTATAATTGAACATATTCAAACCAGTCATAAATGTTCAAACGCTCAAAATAAGACTCACTTTCCAATGGAAAAATCAGAAAAAGCTTGATGTTTTCTTATCTATATTCCTCTTCTATTTACATTGTTCCTCTGGTCACACTGATGTTTTCAGTGCATTTTTTAAAATAATTGTACTGAAATAATAAAATGTAATCAAACTGTGGTGAAATTTAAGATCTCATGATACATTTAATAATTTTCCAAAGAACTGTAATTGGATCGATTTATTGTGAGCTCTGTGATTAACACTTAAAGTAAGAGTTTAAGAAAAATGATGGAATTGTATAACTAATCTTAAGTGATTCAGTGGTGCTTTATTCCACGTTTCTTTTAGAAAGAGACCTAGGAAAAGCAGGGTGTCTTTGTTCAGCGAAAAAATGAGACAAAAAGCAAAAGAACACAAAGTTGGACAGAACCAACAGAAGAAGACAGAAGATGACAGGTGCTTTTTGACTCAATAAAAGTGCTTTATGAGTTATATAAGCTGTGCAGTGCTAGCAGAGCAGAGCAGAGTGGAGGCAAAGCAGAAAAGAATGTGCACAGAGGTTTAACGGGTTAATGGCTGAGGGAGGGGACACTGAGGCACCCTCATTAACCCACAGGAATGCAGTTAAATCTCTCTCTCTTTCTCACCGTGGTGTGTAAGGCACTGATGGAGGTGGGGGAATGTACAGGTCCAGGATAGCTGGTTTCTCCTTCCTGCTGCTGGATTCAGTGCTGCTGCCTGGTGACTGGCTTTTACTGGGGGATGATGAGCTCTACAGGAAATGAGACAGTTAGCAAAACATCAACTTATCATGTCAAGGCCACATATGAACAAATAATCTCGATGCTGCACTCTGTGCTATCTTCATGTAAAAAACAAAAAAGACTACAGCTCTGGCAGATCCCTGTCCAAGCTCATTTACATGCAGTTTCAGATCCATAGTGATAGCTCGACTAAAAATCGAATTTATTTATGTAGCCAAGCCAAGACATGTTGCGTGTCTATAGTTTGCTTCTTTAATTTTAGTTTTGCACTGGTGCTGTGGCTGAAGTACCCATATAGAAAAAACATATGGACATATATTTTTATAGATTTCAAATACACTGCAATCCATGCCAAAATACATTCCAAACTCTAAAATGTGGGATGGAGAAATATTAGAAATAGAAATGTACCATAGAAAAATAAATGTATGTAAAATACAAATACAAATAAAATACAAACTACATTTTAAAATGTATGACAATAGCCAGAATACTTGTCTAATGCACTTTACTGTTTAGAATATCTTTAGAAAATGAATTTGTAATCCAGTGTCTTAATTTGAGTACTAGCCAATGAACCATTAACATGGCAAAAGTGTTGTAGGTGTTGATACACTGTGAAAATGCAGTTCGTTGATTTGATATCTTGTTTATTTGAGATACGTTTTGTGTGAGTGCTGTCTTACCACAAACGTACAATTGTTAACGCAAAGGACAATGCAAAACACAGATGTCTGTACCATTCATTCAGTTCATGTATGTTTAGTTATCTGTAACCTTTGTTAAAACTACATGCAATCGAAAAAAAACAAAAAAAACAAATACAAATTAAATGCATTTTAAAAATATAACTAACTTACAGCGCTCAGTTAGCATGATGCAAACAGCAGGCACATAAGCTCAAACAGACTTGTTTTTTTTTTTTGGTTTCTGACACTGTTTGATATGCCGTCATCAATGAAAATTGACAAAATGTGCAGACAAACTTCAGGCTTCAAAATGGCTGCTGCCTCTGTTTTTAACTTTGTGGTGTGCTTTTGTTTATAATTTGTTAGCTCCAATAGCCTCGTAGCTCCAGCGCAAAACCAAAGAAGCAAACCTCAGACCTCAGAGTTCAAGTGAACACAAGTGTTTATATCAGCAGCATAACTTGCCCAAAAATCATTGCGACCTGACACATTTTCCTTTTCAAACCCCAAAAAAGCGGACAAAGCTGTTTATAAACCAAAGCAGTAAAATACTTTAAAATGCTTAATATTTCAAAACCATATAATTCAATTTGCTGTGTTCACGCTGCATTTAAGGTAGCAAACTACTCCATCTGTTGTACATGAAGGCTAATAAAACTTCATTACTTTACTCTGCTAGGTTGGTATCTCACAAAATGCTCAAACTCCTCAAAGAAATGTTTTGCCCTACAGAGTTTGTAGGTTTAGCTGTTTTGTTTACTGAGGCTAACTGAGCTGAGGGCGAATTCCTTCTGGTTTAAAAAAACTCCCCACTGTCCCCTCCTCCCCTTGTGTTGTGATTGGCCACTAAGTGTGTAATGTAGATGTGATACACTTCCAAGTGGTAAGCTGAAGTTAGTGAGGTCATGTTAAAAGTAGTACTGAAACAGGGTCCTAGTTTTCAGGTTCAAGGTCAAGTCCCTAGTTCTGAGCCTGCATGGTCACATGCCTCCTCCAAGCACAAAGCGTTTTCTTCTTAGTGTATTCATTTTGACAGCTTGATCACATGATATCTATTACATAAAAGATGCTAAAGCATCTTGACTAGCCAAACCACAGATAAAAACAAGCCTCTCTGAATCATCATGTGTGACCTGTCTGCAAAAATGCAATCATACCGATATACGATATCTACCAGCTGATATCTCAACGTCTTGATCAAACAACAAGGCTGACATGTTAGAGAACCCTCTGTGTAATTGGAGGCCCCTTTATTTGGGGTACATACTCCAACACCATGATGGTTTTGTTCTGACTGTGTCTATGCAGTGTGTAGAAGCACCTAAAGAGGTCTGTACCATTGCCAACTTGGGTGCTGGATTACAAGAGCCTGTTGTTTCCATTGGATCCCATTAAAGCAATGGAGTCAGGCTTAGACTACTCAGAAGGCCTACATTTTCCTATAAATCTAACTTCTGAATGGGATTATCATTACATAAATCTCTGAACACAGGATTTGATGTAGAACTCTAGAGACTGGGACCCTGTTCAAGCCACAAAAGGCTGGTAAGGCTGTTCGTGTATCAGGAGGGTGGGCCCATACCATTCAAAGCGCATGAATGGAATTACACAACTCCATTCAATGGTCAAGACAGGCTTTTCAAACACAGAAGGACTGAAGCCAAGGAGGTATGGAGCATGGGAGAATGAAGAGCATTCTCACCCCTATCTGAAGGTAATGTGCACCTCTACACACTTGGTTTGTAGAATGTAAAGCCTGATAGTATCTAGACTAAAGGAGGAGATCCCTAACAGTATGCCTGTCACAGCCATCACCACAGGCTCCTGTCTACGTGACATCATCACTCTGGGTTCGTTCTGCTCAGCAGCAAACAGAAACAAACAGTCTAGAATTGTTCTCCAGTATAATAATAGGCAATCATACAAAGAGGAGTTTAGTTGTGGTGCCTACATCATAATTTGCTACGGGACTGTTTAATGTACATTATCTATAAAAGGTTGTCTTTGTCCCTCTGGACAAATGTGTCATATGAGTTTGTTGTGCATACCATTTTACATAAAGGGGTGAGAAATATAAACTACATCTAAATATCTATGTAAATGTGAGTGTGAGAGAAAAAGAGAGATGTTGACTTAAAACCATTATTAAAGCATCACATTATGTAAAGGGTCTTCATTTTAAAGATACAGAAGAAAGAAAGAAAAAGAGAAAGTTTGTGAGAGGGAGAAAAAGGGAGAGTGAGTATAGACAGATGGATAGAGAGAGACAGAGACAGAGAGACAACAGGGTTTTGTGAGAGAGAGAAAGAGAGCGATATAGAGTATGTATATATATACGTGACACAGAACTCTGAACATAGACTTGTTCACATTCCTGAGAAGGGACTGACCTGTGCCTGTGGGGGTTTCCAGCGCATGTTTTTGAGGGGTGCGGGTGTAAAGCCTGATGTGCCTGCTGGTCTCTTCTTCAGCAGCAGCACCACTCCTTTAGGGTCCTCCCTCAGCTTTGCCACCAGGTTCTTCAACTGCCAGCCCACCTGCAGCAAAACACACACATTCAGCATTACTGCAATGACAAACTGACCTCCAACACCAACATTACAGCAATTCTTCTTCTTCTTGCTATTATTTTGAATAGTAAAATCTTATATGTAAATGCATTACTTACTTAGTTTCATAGAATTTTCCAAGATTAAGATAATAAAATACACATTTTAACATCTCAAATCAAGAAAAGAAGCTAGAAGAGTGAAGTCTGGGCATTTTAGCTCAATTCAGTCTAAAGATAAACATTCTGGCTGTTCTGTGCATGTGTGTTTTCAACCTATATGCTGTTCACTGCCTTTATGGAACAGTAAAAGTGTTGATAATGTATAAGCACTTGATATGATTATGTATTAAAGCAATGTTTTGTCCTCCTTTGAATTTAATCGATCAGCAAAGACATGTTTGGTGTCTGAAGTCTGCATGTTTAGTTTTGCACTGGCACTACGAGTCTAATACCGTAGCTCACTGCTTTTGCAACCAGATTAACACTGTGCAAATTACATGCCTTATTCATCACGTACTTGCTTCAAACACAACTAGACTTGCTTATCTGGTTTCTGACTCTGTGGTGATATACTGTTACTTTACAAAATGGACAAAATGTATGCTGCACAGCTAAACACAGTTTACCACCATAAAGCCTACATTTATGCACTTTTGAATGGACGTTTGAAAAACTGGGGCAGCTGAAAAGGCCATGTGAGTGGAGAGATGCTTACCACTGTCTGCTGGTTCACCTGGATCACCTCATCACCTGCATGGATCTTGTGGGACATGTCTGCTGGTGACTGCAAGGAGAAGATTTAAGGAGAAGAAAGAAAAGATGTCAGGAAACACATTCAGACACACCTACACAGCTGCACCCAAAGGCCATAAACACCAACCAAATGTACTAATGGGGTATAATCTTTACAACCACTCATCACTGAATTATCTGTGAAATTGAAAAGAAACAGCATACACAAAAAGTGCCTTGACCCACAAAGAAGGCTAAATTGTCAGATTATCACAGCAAACAAGCGGGTGGTTGAGCAACACCAGCCTAGCAAATGTCTGTATGATTCATTAACTGTAATTAGTCATAGCTTGGGTAAAAAGGGGGATGATTCATTACTTCAGATGTGAGAATTTGTTTTTGGAGAGATATTGAAGATTCTGACATAACAACTGAAGTTCTATCAGACGTGACTGTCTCTGTAATTCAAAACTTGACAGTGGAGGTTTTTATATCTTCTAGGCCTTTCTAAATGTCTTAAACGCCATCATTATCTGCCTCTGCTTCGCTTGTTTGGTACATGCCAAATGTTTATGCGTAACATGGATGTTGCCATACCGACAGGATTTGGAGAGAAATAATGCAGCAGTGTTGATGATGAAGTGAAAAAGAGTGAAATATTTGTACTTGTACAAAAAATGGACTGTTCCACCACTGTAAATGAGTAATCAGACCATACAGAGGGTGTGGTATTTTCACACAACTGATGGGTGTTAGCTGTATGAAAGCTAATAGTATGTAAAGTTTACCATGTTTACTATGCAAATAAGGACCAACTGAATCCCTCTGCTTTTGTTTTTCATTGGTTATTAAAGCCACCAATGTGAAGTAGCAGGAAATGGAATAACTTTATGGGTAATATGTAACTACATTTGCCACTTATTACACTGAGCAAATTACAGCAGTATAAGAATATAACGTCACTAAAGCATTGAATTAAATTATTTTAGTGACCATCGGCCATTCTTATATAGTTCTTTAACATCAATTTAAGGCACGTATAAGTGCATCTCTGACTTCTTAAACAGGATTTCCACAAACTCTTTAGATGTTCATAGTTCTTAAAACTACCATCAAACAAGTCTAAGGCATCAGGCAGCTTGTTGATTGAAGAACTTTCTATAAGGTCGCTTTTAGAGGCTTAAAACTTTTCAGATGTCTGGTTCCCATCACCACTATATTGAACAATTCTCACTCTGTATGTTTCTCTAGAATGGAGGATTTTTCATCAAACCACTCTGCAAACTTTTTTGCACATATTAATCATGCAGAAATTATGAAAAGTTGGTGGAATTACCCTTCAAATTCTAAGGGTTCGTATGTGGGCCCACACTTCAGTTCGCCACTCTTACAACTGCATATTAGTTTCATAGCTCATAGCTGTTAGGATTTACGATTAGTGACATAATTAATTATGTAATTAATAACAAAGTATTACATTTAAATTTGTTTTACATTCTGAGACAAAAAAAATAAACATGTAGAATAAATGTAAACTGTCGCTGTTCGCTCTGCAAAATAAGACTGTGTGCATGACAACATATAATTATAACAAATTATAATTAATCATAATTATAATAAAAATTATAATTAAGCACCTCTTCTTCTACCAACAAATCCAAATGTGGGATTGATTGAAAATTCTGAATCTGCAATTTCAAGAGCATTTCCCTGCTTATTTCAACAAACTAAATTGAGAAATAATGCATAAAAAATTACAGCATGCTTTTTTTATCATCAGCAACAACTGCAACTTCTAAGCATTAACAGCTCCATCTGTGTTTCGTATTTAGAGGAACTTTGTGAGTAATAAAACTGCTCCCATAGAACTGCTCAGAGCTGCAAAGCAGAAGCAGCTCTGTCTGCTCTCAGTGTGTTCATGCTGACGGAACACGCTGCGTCCGGACAGGCTAAATATATCTCAGCCCCTGGCATCAGACAGCAGCTCAGAGCTGAATCAAAGTCTTACATGCTCAGTGGTGCCGGTGATGACGTGAAGCCCATCGTAGGTGGATTTGATGTACATCCCCTGAGGAGAGAGAGGCAGAAGAGAGAAAGAAACAAAAAAGAAACAGAGGGTTGATGTGAGGCACTGTGGACTGATATAAACTCTCAAAGTAAAAAGCAGGCTTGGCGTTTGCTTGTTGTTATTTACTTGCAAGCAACCACAGAAACATAATGACAGACTGAATTACGGCTGCCGAGACTTTAAGTGATTTCAGCAGAGCATGTCAGCAATTTTCTTGTTTGTCTAACAGAAAGTCAAGAGGGTGGTAAGTCCTCACCAGCCCTTCTCCGGGCTTGATGTTGGTCAGCTGCACTTCCTCCAGGCACGTCGACTGGCTCATTAGAGGATCGGAGGTGGTTCTCACGGTCTGGTCACAGATATTGTTCAGCACCTTGGACTGCAATCAATAGGAGCACTTAGCATTAATGTGACAGGACAGCTGAGGCACACTTGAAAAAAATAAAACAGTCTCAGTTCTATAGGATTATTTTGATTGGCCCACAGAGGCTATTCCTAACTCTTTACTAAAGAGTTCTAGACTAGGATGTATGGTTGTAGGAAAACCTTAAACATTATGTTTTCAAATATTAAAATGTTCTTCACACTCATGTATCTCATTTCTAGAAACGTTTCGTTTGACTCTGGCATAATGGCCCAAATTTACACTTTTTAGGACTTCACTAGTATCCCAGGCACATTTGATCATTTTTATTTCTTATTTTCCAGGTGTTTTCCATGACTGGAAAACTAGTCTAGGATGTGTGGGAACCCAGTGGGATGTCAGCATTCATCAGCACTCAAACTTTTCAGGTGTTTCACCTTAAAGCAAAAGATTTTAAGAAGTTCTGTGCTTGAAAGGTTTGGAAAAGAAAACCAAGGAAGATACTTTGGTGAACATGAAGCTGAGAACTGCAAAAGCTATTTTGTTTGATTGTCTTAACAAAACCTCTGCAGGCTTTTTTTCATACTTCGGCTACTTGAAAAGTAACAGAGAAAAAAAAGATAATACAGTATTTGTACAATCTTGAAGGCAAGATGTTCTTAATCTATCCTGGCTGAATAGGTGTTACCCCAGTGTACTCAGGGAAACAAGAACAGATTACTAACATGCCATTAACTGATCCCTCTGTATCTGACATGGTGGTGAATACTGGAGGAAGAGACCCCCCTTCACTCCCCCTTCATTAAGCCCAATCAAAGCACTTTGGCATCATTAGTAGGGGCAGTTTGGTGATGCACAAAAGAGCCTTTCTTCTCAGACATGCTTGTTAAATTCTCACATTACTGTTAGTATACAGCACATACACAAACTATGTTCATCTGGAACAACTACTACAAAAAGTTTCAACCATAACTGCTGTGCACAAGCCAATAGGATGAATATGTGGCAAACTTTGTCCATAGGCTACAACACTGGTGTTCTTCACAGAAGAATGTAGCGCAGGGCTTTCAGCTAATTCTTGCCTGCATAACTGCTGCAAACATGTCATCATGTGTGTAAAGTGGAGGAAAGGGGCCACAATGAGAGGGGTTGGCTGGAGTTCAGTGGGGCGACTGAGAGGGAGGAAGTCTAACGTCAGGGGACGGGGTCTGCACAGTGTTATTAAGAGGAAACACTTATGGACAGCAAGGGCCACATTACGCCACTCTCTTTCAGCAGCAGCCTCTGACCCTGCCACCAGCATCTCCCAAGCACAGAATAACGCTGAGAGCCTGTCAGTTAATCTCCGAGCAGAGCTGTACGCTTTGCCTTTCCCAGTAATAACGCTGCTACACTATTTCCATTATATCCCATACCGAAAAAAAGTGATTTGCTGAATTTACTTGAATGAAATGTACATCAATTCAACATGAATAAATAGCAACATGATTTTGCTTTTCAGTTTACTTACTTTTGGCAGTAAATGTGTCATAATATATACTGTATTTTAATAATGTTGTATTGATGCACATCAAGTAAATTCAATGCCAATTTTTCTGTACAGAGAATAAGTGGCAGTTATAATGCTGGATTTCAACAAACACTCCAGTGCTTTACAACCTAATCTTTATCTGCTGCATCTGCTGCATGTGGTTGGTTATAATGGACAGTAATTCTTACACATTTGCCTGTATTTAGAAACACTCCATTGACTCAGATGCTGAGGTCTACAGGTTTTATGTCCATTTACAAAGAAAAAAGAAATTATTGTCTGTGGTAAGACAACATATGCTACAAATATAGTGTCACTGATGCAAAGCACCGCTCTTATAAAGCACCAAAAGCTACTGGAGTGCTGGTGCAGAATTTTCAGCCTGCTAACAGTGAGTCAGTCAGTTAGTCATTGAGTGAATGACAAAACAGGTCCATGAGGTGCTTCACATCTAAAAAGCTTTGGGATGCCTTTCATTTACCCTACTCTCTATTTGTGTACAATAAAGCTATCAGATACTTACAACTTCAAGAATCTTCTCCTCCATGTCATAAACAGTGCAATCCTGGGGAGAAAAAGAAGATGACGTCAATGCCCAAGAAGCAAGGAAAAGCTTCTGAACCAAGTAATAAAACCGAAATCAGGGTCATGGTAAGGTCTGTGTAATTAGCGATCCAAATATAGGCAGTGGAATATGAACTCAAGCCACAAATAAACAGCTTTGAGTCTTGAATTACATATCCATGTTAGTGCTAAGACAACATAATTACATAAGACGGAGCAGAGGGACACCACACTATAGTGGAAGATAAACAGGAGACACCAGTATCTAGTAAATCACACTTTCAGGGAGAAGGGCACTCATCTAAGCTCGACTTGATCTAAATGCTCCTTGAGGAATGCTAATGTAAGATATACATTCTTAGCTTCACTAAGCAAATAGAAGCTGGTAGCCAGCAGTTAGCATGAGTTTGTTTGCACAATGTTAATTGGTGGCCAATAGCTTTTATTCATGGTTAGCAATGCAATGCTAGCATTTTTGACTGAATTATTTCATGTAAGCACCAATATCATACATTTTTCTTGTCGGTGTTTACAAATTGAGGTCCTCTTATGACACTTGTGACAATTGATTTCCTCATGGTCTTTTTTCTAACCTCTCTTAATCCCTTGGAATTACACAGGCTCTTATAATTATTTTGGACTGATATAAATGACCTCCATTCTGATTGGCTGCTCCATATTATGCCAAATTCAAAAAGCAGTCTGGGCTAAAACATCCCCCATAGTTTCAACATGAATGGGCGGGGCTAAACTGCTGTAGCCTGAATAGGTAGATACATGTAAATATACTGCTTTTTGGAACACCACAAAACCAATGATTTCAAAACGGACTGATTTTACAGTTTCTATATACAGACAATATGGAAAGGAGAATAAATGGTAAGTTTTGAAATTTAACAATGCTTACATGAAAAATATTTTATATCAAAAGAGGGAGTAAAATAAGGTTTTACATGATATGGGCCCTTTAAAAGACTGAAAGTCTCTACACTGGGGGCTGTGCTCACAGCTGAGGCAACACAGCAGACGGAGAGGTGGGGTACTGATCAGTGGGGGTTGTGAAAGCGACCCCCTATGGTGAGTCAGACCTCCCCTGTCTTGCTGGAGCATGCCATTAGTGGCACTTGTCCACTCAGCACCTGTCTGTCAGCTGGTAGCAGTTAGCCTTGACCACAGAGGGCTGATGTTCATGTGAGCCGCACCACTGACCTGATTCAGTGCTTAGTGCTGATGAGCTGAGATTTGGAGGAAGTGTGCCAGCACAAGCTTCCATCATGAGCAGCACCACTACTCGGTGTGACCTAAAATCTACAGTATATGCCTGAGCCATAAATTACTGGATGTCTGTCTGTGCGAGGCTACAGCCCACGTAGAATAATAAAGCTACTAGCCAGCAGTATGGGAAAGTAAAGGGAAAGCATGTGCCTGTATTTGATATAGTGCTTGGCAAATTAGTACTTCAAATTTCAATCATTTTGTTCCTCTACATATAACAGAAGCCATTTTGGCTGCTGAATTCTTTTTCCTTTGGGCACCAAATCTGAGGGTTTTCCATAAATCCATTTCCAAGGGTAAAAAAAAAAGTAGGGGTTTAGGAAAGAATGTGGCTTGAAATGCATAGTTCCTAGATGTTCCATACCAGCAACCACGAAGAAGAGAAATTCATTTTAACTACAATTCAACTCACTAAAGATGATTAAAACTATCTTTAAAGTGCCAAAAAAGGTTAAAATTGCAACTGTCGGCATATCAATACAAATTTAATACTGTGCAAAATCTAACCTTCATTTATTCAATTCCCAGTCAAAACAGCCAGAAAGTTCATTTTTCAGTATCAGGAAAAAAACAGAAAACTTACATGTAACAGAAAATTTCATAGAAACCTCAACAACTAAATATCAATTCTTTCAACACACATCATCATTTTTTTTTATATTTAGCATGTCAACCCTTTGTCTTTATTACAGCTTCCAATCTTTTCAGGAGATGTGCTTTCAGTTTTTCAAAGAAACCTGCAGGAATATTCTTCCACACCTCCAAAGTTCAGTCTTAGAAGTTGGTTGCATTGTCTGCTTCTCATGATCCAAGTAATCCCAAACATCTTCATGATGTTGAGGTCTGGACTCACTGGTGATCAGTCCATTTTTCTGAGAACACCAGCAGCTTCTTGATTTGTCAATGTTCTTTACAAATTGTTTCAGATCTTAAGCACGATCTTAAAGATGAAAGCTACTGTTTATCTGATGGTGACAGTTTTGGTGGTCTACTAGGTCTTGCACGGTTGTTAGGAGTCCCATTTACTGTGTATTGTTTGACCATTTAATAGACTCCAGTTTTGGAAACTCCTTCCTTGGAAAATAAATAAATGTAGTTTCTCTTACTGAGTATTGTATATTCCCCTTCTCAAAGTGTTTACGCTTTGCCAGATTTCAGAGACAACAAGTAGCTTTAAAAGATAAACCAAGACAAACCAATATAGATTCAGTTCCAATTTGTAGACACTGGGCTGAAGATCAGAAAGAGACAGGCTGAAGAAACTGATCCCTGACTCATGGATGTCATCAGACAACAGCTGATAGAGATCAGATGGCTCTATGGGTCAGCTTTTTGAAGTGAAACTGGAGAGGCTTTGTGTATGAAAGCAGTAAAGAGTCAGATACAGAAATCAAACTGCGTGCTGGCACAACAACTGAACATCCTAGCATTTGCACAGCTGCCCAGTAAGCCTCACTTTGTTTTGAGATTCTGCATCTTCCCGTCATTAATTAAAGCACCATACTAGTTGGTACTAGATCAGTTCTTTGTTGTAGAAGATATAAGATGTCTTTTCTTTGTGTAGGTCATGAGAGGTAAATCAGGATATTGTGTGTGGATGTGTGTTTCACTGCTGTAAGACACACTGACTGGTCATGCTTGTTACTCATTACCGAACCATGTGACCTAATGAATTCTCCCTATACCCTTAAACTCCTGACTGGGCTGTACACTACCAGCAGGGGTTCATTTAACATGGTCCACTCTTGACCCTGCTGAACACCCAGCTCTAACTCAGGGCTCAAACACTGCATGATTGTTAGAATGTTAGTCCTGCAGTGTTTCATGATGTATCAAAAGTTCATCGCTGTTGTTTCATTATTCTAGCTGTCAACACTTTCAAATCTTTATCTAAATAGGCTAACACTACACTGACACTGTATTCTTCACATAAACAAAACAAACAGCATTCAGTATATATATGTGGCCTTATGCTTAGCAATGTTTACATACTACATCAAACGGTGTTATTTAAAAAAGTGAGGAAAGGTTGTTTTTCCATAATATGGACCTTTAAACAGTGTGATGAACATTAGGCTATACTGTATGTCTACTTCTGAATGTTGTCTTCTCTTTAGAATATTTTGAACGAGGCCATGTTTAACTTTATTTACTTATTTGACCATTTGAATAGTTTTGTATAGATGAAAAAGACTAAATTTGAAAAACAGAGATGTTAATTAAGCTGTAAAAAATAGATTTTTTTGTGATCAAACCAATAAACATTGGATAACAATAACAAGTGTTTTTAATTTTCTGCCATAGTTTTGTTTTGGTATCAAGCATGTCACTTGGCATCAGTATGAAAATTCTGATATAGTAACAACCCTTGTATTATGTGTAATACACAATTGTCACATCTATTGCTGGTACATTTTCCCATTGGCAATATTCCATTTTACTTATTGGCCCTATTAAGGCAAAATGATTTTGTGCACTGGATGCACTGTGAGCGCCATGTAGCAGATACTACAAATCTCAGCTATACCACATAAAATGCTTCACAGTAAGAGCACCGATCAACAGCAAGCTCAAGTTCATTTTACACTCAACTTGTACAGATTTAATGGAACAAAACTTCCAATATCATTTAGTGAGTTCTTCATGTTTGGTGTCAACTAAATAACTTCAGAGACTCGCTAAATGTGAGCTCAAAGATATGAGGTCAAAAAAGGCTGGCATTTGTCTGTTTACGTTAAAACTTTTAGATTGACTCTCAGAGTAAATTTCAAGCCATGCATCACCTACTACTGGCCTTTGTCTCATTCTGGGTTTAATTTAATCAGTAATAGCAAGCACTCTGTGGTGCTTAGAGACATAGAGCACTGATAGGAGTGTTGACGCTGGGCGTTCTCAGCAGTGTGTGCATGTGTACCTTCATCAAAACCAATGGTTTCGATTTTTTGGACACTGCCACTGAAAGCACTTAAGCACTAAATAAGCAAATTATTAAAAAGCTGCACTCCAGCCAGTACTTTCACAACCTTCATGCATGAACATACTTAATGCCAGAAAACACACATACAGGCCTCCACAGACATTCTGAAAATAAATGTAAAAGTGTCGAGCACACAAAAGTAATTTATGAAGGGTCCAAAAGGTGATAAAAGTGAACTGGCAGAACTTAAAGATTTCTCCTAGACTTGTGTACAAAAAACACTAATTTGTATGAAATACAAAACTTACTATCTAATTATATGTAACATTTAATAACCGCAAAAGGAGTTAAATCTGATGACATGCCAGAATATTTAGTTTGGACAGGCGTTCATCCATTGTGTTGATTAATGCTACGGTAAACACAAATGGTGTTTATCATAGTGCAATGCACCTCCTGTATCTGTGATTATCGCTGCAATAAAAGCTCACAGAGCGAAGCCTCCTGCTGGGAACATCTTGCAGAAGCCGAAGCAGAGCCACATGGCACGGAAAATAACGCTGAGGAATGTTGGCCACCAGCTTTAAAAGAGCGCCCAAAGTATTTTTTTTTTGTTAAGAAACTGTAAACTCAGAAACTTTGGCTGGGGTCCTGGGGGGGTCTGCCTATTAGTGTATGAGGAAAAAACCCAAAGCAAACAACTGCAAGATACCATGTGTTGAGGCCTCTACCATCAGGCTTGGACCAGATCCATATTTCCATCTCACAAAACTCCTATCACACATGAAAGCCCTACAGACAAACTCATACAGGCACTAGTAAAGGTGGATAACAGATGTATTGCAAAGGTCTGGATGATTCAGGATGTCTATTTAAGAAACATGTATTGGAGTGAAGAGGGAAAACAGACCTGCTGGACTGTGGTGGTCAGCTCCAAGCACAGCTGAATGATTTTGTTCTTGGTGGTGGTAAAGTCACTGATCCCAGTCAAAGGGGTCCTGCAGAGAGACAGCACAAAAGATGCTTAGATTACATTCATATTACAGGGCTGAAGTGGCACCCTTTCTTCCCTAATTGTGACAAATCTGATTTTTTTTTTCAGTGTGAACACAAAATCAATATGGCTTGTAATATGAAAATAGCCTTTAGACTAGGCACTTCTAGAAGGGTATATATATATATATATATATATATATATATATATATATATATATATATATATATATATATATATATATAAAACCACACACACACACACTACACGTTTATCACTGTGTAGAAAAGGACATTAATCTTAAAGAGAGACAGCAGTGTGACAAGAGGGTGCTGCAATGAGGCCATTACGGTGGAACCACACAATAGCACAGAAGAACTCAAACTTCCACTGCCGCGTGGCTGGACAGCCTGTGGTCATAAACACTAAGGCTGAGGCTGAACGTGTTGCTATGTCAACCCATTACAAAAATCCTATCCTCTGTCAAACGGTTCCCATTTCTCTCCCAGGCAGACCACAACTATCCCACCACATAATGTGAGAGGCTACCACATCACTAAACTCATTCTTTTAGTTAGAGTTACTGCAAGAATAATGGTAGACAATGTCACATGATACCTCCCTCAGCTTTGACTTCAGACAGGCAACATAAACGAATGTGTATTTCTTTACTCTGCTGCTTTTAGATAAATAATCAAACGTCCAATCAAAGGACTATTTATTATATTCATATACATGGTGATGGACACATCTCTTTCATGACAGAGATTTGGCTGATACTGTCTACAGAGACGGACCTGCGGAAACAGCTCAGACTGTATCTAGTTTCATCTGTCCTTGAATGTTTCTATGGAAAATCTCTTGAATTCAGGAAGGTCCCCTGCTGTGTTCTGCCTGTGATAAAGGAGATGTAAGCCTGTACTCTGCACTTTTACATTACTCCATTAATGACACCACCTTTATGACCAGAGATGTGGTCAAACAGTTTTTCAATGCATGAACAGCTATCCACATCGTTGCTTTCATATCAAAACCCTCCAACTTCTTTTTTTTAATATTTTTATGCTTTACACCATTTGAAAACATCAGCTGCTCTTTACATTTTGGGAACGTTTCATCACGAATGCACCAACAGAAACAGTCCAAAATTACATGTAAAAAAATCTTATTAGATTAACGGACAGTTAAAAAACACCTTTTTCCATGCCCTGTAAAGTTACATTTTTTTAGAATGTTTAGTATGACAACATCCTTATTAAATATTTGGCTATGAAGCTGCAAATCTTACATCTTAAATTTTGAGTATTATACCTGTCCAGCCATGCCAGAAGGCTTTTAGCTGCGCCGATGAGCTCCACCACAGATGTAAGGAACTCATTGGGGGGTTTGCGGGAGCTGCTGCCATCATAGCTTGGACTCTTCCTGCGCTCTGATGTACCAATGTGCAGATTGTTGGATGCCGATCTCATTCGCACCACCAGGTTTTTCAAGTTATCCGTCTCCACACCATAGTTCTGTAAGGGAGAAATACAGAGACAAATTAAAAAAAAAAAAGCCAAACGTGCTGTAATAAACGACTGTTGTTATATGAAAGCCTTGAAAATTTTTTAGGTTTTTATTTTTATTTACACCATTTAAAAATGGTGGACCAACTGAAGTGGAGGAAATGAAACTGCAAGGAGACTGTTGGCCTGGTGTAACCAGAGAGGCAGCAGCATTGAATGGCAAAACAGAAGTACTTTGGGGGTGGATTTCAGCAAAGAAAAATAAGTAGTCACACAGCATTGTGTGAAAGAGTGACTGAACAGCCACGTCAGGCCGAAAGGCCTGATCTGAAAGGATGAAATCACCCTGCATTCCTCTGGCAACACTTGCACCACCACCTGACTCCCACGAAGCATGCAAAGTTTGCTCTCCTTCTCTAGGTAGTTTCCTGCTCTTACATTCTTTGGATTTGCAGCACATCCAAATAAACAGATAATTTAGACTGACAGAATGACTGAAAAGCAGTTGGTGTAGCATAGTAATACTACAATGCTCCTCCATGCAGCAGACTGGAGTTTGATTCCCTGCCTGGGCAGGCACACCATGCTACACCAGCCCTTGGGCAAGACTTCTTCTTTGCAAGCTGCTCTTGGCCAATGCACCTGCCAAATGTAGAAATGTACATGTAAAAATGGACAAAAACATGGGCCATATCCAGGCTTCAAGATGGTGGTCACTACTGACCAGAGGAAAAATTTATGACTCAAATGTTGCTCTTTGATGGCTTAAGAGACTTAATCAGGGATGCTGGAAGCTGTTCTTTAATTGCTGTGATATCATACTAAATGCTAGGTCTTTTTTCCTTCTTTAAATTATTATGAGAGAGACATCTGCTCTCTCTTGCTGGATGAAATTTAGGCGAATGAACTGCGCACTGGGGAATCACACTGTTGATGTGAGCCTTGTGTCACGCTCATAGTCAAGCTACACGTGCATTTCCAGCGGGAGATTATGACAATGGTTAAAAAAAATGCAGAAGAGGAGGAGATGTTATGTTATGCAGACTAAAATTTTTAAGCTTTTAAAATAATATTAGGTTTACTTCACAGCAGACCTGGCCTACCACTCTTGCTTGTGTTTTAGCGACATGCACAAGTAATACACTCAAAGCGGCCAACAACTGGCAAAGGAAGCGATTCTGTTCGCTCTAAAATGCAGCATTATGTCAAACAGCTGTTGTCTAGGAGAAACTAAAGACATATTACATATTACAGGTAGACATAGTTCATCAAGCTAGCACTTTAATAGCACTGTTTGAAAAACTGAATCTGCTGTAGTTTGTTAAACACTGTAAACACTTTATTTACTCTGCTTTGTACAACAAACATAATGGTTGGTCATCTGTCTGGAGGTCACAGCAGTAAGTTCTAATTGCTCAGTGTCTCCTTTGCGCTTCACATTCAGCATCTGCTGCTGATGTGTTTCATAATGCAAGCCACTTGCTCTGTTTAGAACAGCACTGCCCTATTTAGACTCCAAAAACTGTCTGGCAAAACGTCTGTTGCTTAATTTAGACGCTAAACCTGGCAACCCTGTGCTCCACTTTGAAAAGGCCTCGGAAAGAATGAGCGCTGAACATCTGAACCACCGCACTGGGAGGGTCAAGGGGGGTGCTCACAAAAGCCTCAGCTCGCAAAAGTGTTGCACCCCAGCCAGACCCTGTGAGTCTGTAGCAGAGTCCAGAGAGAAGAGCCTGTATTTGGTGCACTGCTGCATTTTTTTAACCTGCGAGCTGCCAGAAGAGCGGTTCATCAGAGCACCTTTCACAGTCAATATTGGGAGACGGACAATAAAACCGCTAACCTATCCTATCATTTATCCCTGTAATGCATGCTGAAGTATAGCTCCTCAGAGTGGTGTAGACAGGCTGTTCCATTCACAGATAACTTGAGGCATGCAGATCAAACTGGATTTGTAAAACATCCTTTATGAGTTGTGTTCATGCTTTCAGACAAGGCACAGTGAAATGTGTCAAAGAGAGTCAAGAGAGAGCTCCTCAAAGAGAGAAAAGACAGACATGCATGTTTAATTTTACATTGTATCAGGAACATGTTCATATTCATATATGCACATGCATACTAACCCTCAACCTAACCCTAAGTTAAAAGGGGAAATCCACAGAGTTTTCAAATTTTCTGCATAATTAAATGGTTAAGATGTAAAGAAAGTCATTCAGAGTAGTTTGATGTGAAATGCACTACTGTAGAGAAACTTACCAAATCAGAATTGTTCACAACAGTGTTGACAGAAACCAGATATCCAAAGTGTTTAATGTACGCTATAAGATATTGTTTTACGATAGTTTTGAGATGAGATTTTGACCTAAAACAAATATTTTTTTTTTAAATTCATTTGTGGTGGAGAGGTACATGTTATATGGGAAAACAGTACCCAAATGAAACTTATTTTCAGATTTACCGCTATGTTGCTATTATTAACAACAATACATCCGTAAACTCAGAAGACATGTGTGGGTTTACTGGTCGTTTTATATCTTTTTTTGTAGTTAATAAAATCAATATATTTGATTTGTAGGCATTGCACCTGCACCTTGCTCCTCTCACCGCTGTAAATTTAAGCAAGTTCCTCTAAAATGCATTATTTCACTCAAAACTGGCCTGAATTATCTCAACAACTGAAGTATGCAGCATTTACAAAAAAATAGGTGGAAATCTTTTTTATGCTCATTTGCAAAGAAATAGTGTGCCCTTTCAGCCTAAAAAAATTAAACATAGCTTTTGTAAAAAGTATTTTGTTGAACCTGACATTGTTTGTATCACACACACACACACAGTCTGATCTTAACTGGCCTTCAGCTGCTGGTGGTGGGAGCCCCAGAGTTGTGTTTTGGCAGAAGAAACAGACCCCACAGCCCACATTCTCATTAGTGGGCTAATTATATCCAGACCTGGAGTGACTGACTGTCTCACAGATGTTCTGAATCAAATAATACTGCACTGCTGCAAGGTGACAAAGCAGGTAGCCTAAATGACTTAATCACATTCACTTGAGTTTACCTTCCAATGTCATGCCTTTATACCATCTAGTGGGGACCTAGTTAACATATATCATTCCAAGGTGGAATGATTTGTAATGTATTTCCCCCACATGTTCAGGACAGAATCAACAGGGGAGACACATTAATAGCAAATCACCAAAAGGTTTACCTATTCAGGAAATCTGTCCACTCATTTCACTTTACTCAACCTCTAGCATATCCCTAAAATGCTGCCAATACAAAGTGATGCATGCTGCAAACCCTCAATGTTAATCAATGTAGCCTTTTAAACCAGAGCGTACCAAGTTTCTGTGATTATTTTTTGCTGTTTGACACTATAGAAGCGTATATGAAGCAGCGGGTTTAGTGGGGCATGATGACTGGTTGGCAAGGCATTGATCCCAATAAATGAACCCAAGACTCCAGGCCTGGTTATGGGGATTCCGTGAGCCTCTGGTTGAGGGCCATGGCTAGCGTGATGTGTCAGGAACCTGGGCGAGATGATTTGCTAAATCTCTCTCCACAAATCAGGCAGAAAGCCCCGTCGCTCTGAGGACCAGCATGTGTTTCCTTCTCTATGAGAGTTTCTGGTACGGTCTGCCAGGGGAGAAATGTGGAGTGCTGGTAACACTATCCATAGCTCTTTCCACCTCATGTGCTTGGCCTGAACATCCTTAATATCTATTCCAGAGTGCTGAGACAATAGAAAGCCTTTCCATCAAGAAGGCTGCCATGGCTTGAAGGAAAAATACAGAGGTATAAGGTTTCAGCACAGGCTCTGCAAAAGCTATCTCTGGGTCTCATTCATTAACATGGAGGTTTTCTGCTGGGAGAGAGCTTCTTGGTTTGATGATGTTTTTTATACAGCCAAAACTGAAACCTGAACAAATCTGCCACGATACAAAAATGTCATTCACAGACTGATCTTCAGCCTGCACAATATATTGCTTGTTAATCATTATTGCGATACTGGCCTCGACGATGCTGCAATATGCAAATAAGCCCTTTTACCAATGGCAATGTTTTTTTACTGTGCGCTGTGAGCATCCCATCCCAGAGTCCCAGACTGTTGTGTTTCTGTGGATGGTTTAATCAATCAGCAATGGTCAAAATAAAGTTGAACAAAAGTACATTTAATCTGGAGAAAATAATGCAGGCCAATTTTTAACAATGCCACTTATCGGTTCTCCAGTGCTTTTTTTAACATATTGTAGGGCATAACGCAATTGTAATATGCAAACTAACTGTAATCCTGGTGTCCATATTGTGCAGTGCTACTATACACATTGACACAAATACAATACAAATATTCATACTGATCACATAAAATGGAGCACACCAATGACCCTGAGAACCCACTGGGGTTTCCTTGACCAGAGAAAGCAAAAAATTCAGTAACACTGAAGGGCAGTGTTCTTAAAGCTACACAATACCTCCAAAGCCTTTTATGACAAATGATGTAAACCAATATAGACATTCATAAAGGCTGATCTCAGCAAATGTCATTTGTGATAACACTCAATGAGAAGAAATGACATCAAAATGGACAAAAGCGGCTTGATGCCAACTGATTCTTGTTGGAGTAAGTCTTTATAGCTGTAGGTTTGGGGCAGCTGTCATGAAAGGCTTATATAGGTGTTCTGTAGCCTTACAAATGCTGCCCTTCAGGAAAGTGTCACCAATACTTTTAAACTAACAGCAAAAAGAAACAACACGGGATTTGTCAACTACACTTCCTCTGGAAGGTGCTGACCTTCACCTCAGTAAAAAGTTCAGTGAAACATTTTAGCTAGCTTTTTCCCAAGGGTCCCTGAGCAACCTTGAACTTTAGAGCAGGGCCTCCAACAAATGGTTTACTTTATGGAAAGGACTGAGCACAGTTCCTTGATGAACCTTTCCCATGGCACCAGTGGCCTGCTGAGTCTTTTCTCAAGTCTACATGGGGAAAAGAGCGTTCAAAGCTCGTTTCCTCACATGTAACTTGTGCAACTCCATGTCTCCCCTTCACACTGCAAAAATAAAGTTCCAACGTTTGTGGAAGATTTATCTAAGATAACAACTCTTGCTGAGAAGCAATGCGGGCCAAATTTATGAACTGGATCAAAAGAAAACAATTTGAGGCCTCGTGGAAATTGGTGGCCTTGGATGCACAAGGTCTGGGCCCAATTACAGCATCCATAAAGCGAGGGGTGCTGGACACTGGGATGTACCATATGGTTCATAGGCTATGACATGACCATCAATCAAGGCCTTCATCTCCACTAACGTAAGCGTTTCCATGTGTCCATAGCACTTTTCTATACAGCCTCCATTATCTTCTCCACAGGAGATCAGCTGGATGAACGTTCCTACCAGAATAAAGTTATTCTAAGCTTAGACAATGCTCTCTCCCATCATCATTTCATCTCACTAAAATAAATGCTTCTGTGGTAATTCGCAAAGGCAGTTTATTACAGGGAACGTTAATGCTCTTGCTTCCGTTTCAAATAGAGGTTGTTCAGTTATTGCTTCAGTCAACATAACGACCAAACAATGAATCATCTCTTTGCAAACTGAAGGACAACAGCAGCCAAGGATGTGGAGAACAAATATTGGTTCATTGTTTTATGCCTGGTGCAAAGGGAAGAGGGAAGAAAGTAGTTAATGTTGCATCTTTCAAAAGCATAAGGATCTCACTAAAACTTGTGAGCGATCAAATAATTGGGCTTAAATGTGCTTTTTATGGTGCAGGAAGTGATAAAATATAAACTAATTCCATCTGCCTAAACAGGGGGTTGACAAAGCTGAAGAGAACTAGCTTGGAGCCATTTAGCTAATGGATCCAACTCTTCTTTTGCATACCTCTTATCTGCTCTTCTCTTGCACACTTTTTCTCATTTAAGACAGTACTGGTAGGTGTAAATCCTGGTGTGGTAGTTACAGTGTGATGATATAGCACTGATTGAGCAAAGAGCACCTCCAGCCAAGAGCTTATAGTACACACGAGGAGAACACAGAGGAGCATTTATACACTTCATTATCATCTTTAAGAAAATCATTTCATGAAAGATTTACAACGTCTCCCATCCAATTAAGCAACAACAAAGAAAGCAATAAAGAAAGCGAGAAAACAAGCAAGAAAACAAGAAAGTAAAAAGAAGGTAACAAAGAAAGAAAATGCAGGGTTCAGGACTGGTTTTTCCTCTCCATTTAGTTTCTTCCTGTCCTTTATCTGGTATAATATGTCAACGTTTCAATGGGCTTAATCCTCGGCCACAGGCCATGCTGGACTTTCCAACCAATTCTCATTGGTAAAAGTGAAGGAAACCTGGTGGGTCAAGTCCAGCCGGTGACATGCTTAACAAGAGTGTTTACATGCCTAGGGCAACGCTCCCTTGTGTTTAGCTAAAAACTGCAAACCACCCAAAACTTCTTGGCTAGGCTTTTCAGGCTACTGGTGAGGTTACAGAGTTTGTTTTGCAAAGGAAGTAAGGAGATGTTTTCACTGTAAGTAGACTGTGATGAATAGCAATTCCCAAATCTAGGATTTAAGTCCTACAAGACACTTGTGTTATATTAACAGGCCTGGCATGTTTAGAAACTAGATGATTTTGCAGCCAAGAAAAAAATGTTTCATTGCATATCCGCTACAATGCTTTCATCAGATATGTATAGGTTCATACTGGGGATTGGAATAATACTGGGTATTAAAAAGAGGACGTATCATAACAATGTCATGACATCAGTGGCCAAAATGATCACTTTTTTTTGGTATTATTGTAGTATTGTTCAAATATGCTGAAAACTTTAAAAAAAGCACTAACAGACATTGAAATCACTTTAACAATTGTATACTGATTCTTATATAGGCACACTACAACTAAATTATATATATATATATATATTGACTTTTTCATTAAACCTCTCATATGTCTTTATTGTACCAAAAAACGAACCATTAATATATGAAATTATCAGCAGCACCTCTGCTGTTTACTGTTCAAAGTACGCGAAGTTCTGATGTCATGGTATGTGCTGTGCTGACAGACTATTCACAACAGCCGTAGCCTATTTACTTTCACCAAGACATTTCTGAAAAACACTAATTGTACAGCTTTTTTTCTTGATAAAACATTAACTGTCTAAACCTTACTTGGTTTTGAAAAATTTGGCAGTGTTCAACTCGAGCGCTTCTGTCACTTTTTGTAATATTACTGACCAGAGCACACAGCAAGTCCACGGCCTCCAGCACCAGCTCCTGGTGGCCGATGCGGGCCACCCCCAGCTCCTCCAGGTCCTGGTGAGAGATCTTGAGCAGCTGTTCTCCACTGATCTTCTCCCTCTCAAAATTGGGTACATACTGCTGGAGACTGTCATCAAGACCTTGAAAAGAAAAAAAGTGACGCGAGAGAGAGAGAGAGAGAGAGAGAGAGAGAGAGAGAGAAGAACAAGTTAGTATATGGCATGCCACCATAAGAAAAACTGAGATACATTATATGCTTCTAACAGTAGTTACTGGTTTTCATAGATCTTTCCTGTTTTTCATATTTCCTATTGCATATTCATTGCCAAATCTTTATCTTTTGCTTTTATTATTGTACTGTTGTTCTGCTATTCGGTGTTGACAGGAGGAGGACGGGTTCCCCTTTAGAGTGTTGGTTCCTCTCAAGGTTTCTTCCTCTTGCTCTCAGGGAGTTTTTCCTTGCCCCTTTCGCCCTTGGCTTGCTTATTCGGGACTTGCACCTGGATTTCTGTAAAGTTGTTTTGTGACAACACCCATTGTAAAAAGTGCTGTATAAATAAACCTTGACTTGAATGTTGAATGTTTCTCATGGTGATGGACAAAATAGATCAATTATCATCATGACACCATATATCAATACAGTTCAGCTGAAACGTGGTCAAAGCATTGTAGGTTAAAAAAATGTATTATTTCTTAATTGCTCTCAAACAAGTTGCAGACTGTTGCTTTGTCAGGGAAGCATAGCTCCCTGTGTTTGCATTGCGGCTGCTCAGAGAGAACAGGTGTGCAAGATGGACCTCCCAGATAAAGCCATCATAAACACCACGTCAGTTGCACCTGCCTCTATGTATGTATGTATGTATGTGTATGTATGTGTGGGTGTCTAGTTAAACATTTATCGGCTCGATTATATTTGATGAGAAATGGTCAACTGTAACTGTAATTACAACAGTTTAAACTTAGCGCTCATTAATTTCAAAAGACTTCTCCTCAAAAAAAACTAAAGCTAATAAACTGGATCAACTGGCTCTGTAAGTGTTCTGCAGCATCCGGGTTAGTTTCCTTATAACTGTTGTTTCTAACGAGACAAAATCCAGGAACATTTTTGACGTTACTCTGATGATTACAAAACCGAAACTCAAAACTGAAACTGCTCCAGTAGTCTTGCTCTAGTAACTGAAACTGTTACAACATGAGTGAGGATGATCTTTCCATCGAATGTAAATGAACAGGCTCGACAGAATGAAAAGGAGCTGTTCAGCTTGCACGGGAACTTGCATTTGATTCTGAACCAACACGCCGCCTCTGCAACAACACACTCCTACACCAACTCACATGCACAATGCAGCCCACTCATCTAGCCCCTCCGCCAGTGTCTCAGTGAAGGATAGCTCTATGGAGGGATGGGGGATGGGTGTCCACCCAGTCAAAGGCAGTACAGAGAGGGGCAGCTGCGGAGGACTGGCCCCATGCCCTGCTGCTCAATGGCCTGTCAGCCCAGACACAACCACAGAGCTAACCATTCAGCACCTCATCTATCTCAATCCATCTTTGGAAAGGCAACAGTAAGCACTTTCCTAAAACGGACACATTCTGGGAAATTTCTATTAACAAATGCAAAGAGTATAAAATGCATTGATGCACTGGTATAAAAGTGGTCTACACCGGTTTTGGAATGCAAGAAATTGAGTATAATCGACTAAAATTATATCTTTAATCAAAACAAACTTAAGGTCTGATATGTCCACCCTTAAATTCGCACATGGCAAAGATATTAGATACAACTAATTTCAAGTCAATTACTTTAAAATGTTAATGCTAAATTCTTTGATCACACATTCAAAAGATCCTATACCAGCATTATCATCAAAGTTTCAGAGGAAACAAGCAGTTAGTGTGGAGCATGAGAGCAGTTCATGACATCTGGATGTTAATCCAGTCACCTTTAGCAAAATGCACTGCTTTTGAAAATAAAAACAGCAAGCAAAATGGTTAAAAAAGAGCACAGGACAAAAAAAATCAAATTCAAAATTCAGTGAGCTTCAATCTGATCAGGGATGAACTGCAGTAGACACACTAACGCGCAAGACTTATTCACTTCAAAGCCGAGCCACAAGCGTGAGAGAGTGTCAACTGGGTTGAGTGAACACAGCCCAACACAAACAGTTCATCTAACTGGCTGTGGTAACTGAAGCTGTGCTAACTGAAAGGAACTGAATGAAGAGGAAAAAGTGTCTTCTTTCAGAATTAGCCTGCTAATGCTAAGAAGGCATTTCCTGGAGAGTGATGCCATTCTTCTGCAGATCTTTTCAGAGCCCGCTGAGGAGAGGAAGAGGAGAGAGGCGCTGGAATGCGCTGAAGTGATTACAGGGCTTGATCTAGCACTTTCCGTGTGGTTTTCCTTCATTACAGTGAGATGTCGCTCCGCTACACTGAAATTAGCAGCTCTTCACAAGGCTGTCTAATGAAAGGCCTTCACATTGACTGCTGCTGAAGTGGCTCTGCGTTATTTGACATGGGCCTGGAAAAATAATGTGCCTTCAGACCATAATACTGAGAATTAAGCCTCTTTTGAGAACTTTTAAGGAATTCCAAAATCTATTATTGTCCCCTTTAAAGAATCTGGAACTCAGGATCAGTGGAGGAGAGCAATGCGTCTAATTGGGATGTTTTCAAGTCGGCTAGATCAAATAGCCAACCATGTATGGATCGTTCCCACCTGCCCTACCCACCCAACAGTGGAAATCAGAGTAATTGCTTGAATTTCACCAAGGCTAAAGGGAAATATGGCAGCTCCGGTCAAAACACTTATGAAACCAAAGCGTGAAACTCCCACCATAAACACTCATTGTGTGTGTGTGTGTTTACAATTCAAAGGTGAACACAATAAAGGAAGATAGAGTGTCAGTGTAGTGTGAAGTGAACAAAAGGGATAAGCGAAACATCTTCAAAGAGAGAAGTAGCCAGAAGCATTTCACTGTAGTCATGAAACAGCAGTTAACAAGACTATTCAAATATCAGTCTGGCAACTCCTAGTCAGCTGTCATTTTAGAACTGGTTCTGGAGTTCAGTGAACACAGCTACAAAGCTGTAATGTAGCACATATAATATCATATCATAATCACTTAACTAGACAAATTCACCATTTAATATAGCAGACTCATGAAAATCTGCTTTTATAAACACCATTCATTAAACAAATTTATACTCCAACTAAAAGCTGCCACTGCCTATTGTATCCAGTAAATGTTTTAAGTGCACACAAGACTGGGAGGGTCCAGCAGAGGAAAAGCTGTAACTGATCTCCTTTCTTTCTGTCAAACACTTCACGCTAATGAGAATTCTTTCAAAGTCCACATAAGGTTTGAGAACACACTGGTTATCTGGGCTGTGACTAAAGAAACCAAAGTTCCATGAAACCTTAAGTTGTGGATGACTATTAATACACCATAAAAGGTGTACATCGTAACGTATCATAATGTTTTTCAGAAAATAATGACAAACTGCATGCATGTACAATCCAATTGTCCAATTTTCAGAAGTGTTACCATGGAAAAATGGACATTACTAGGCCCTGATGACCTACAGTACTATTTGCCATACTATTTACTGAACTAGATTTGAGTAGCTGAAGCAGAACTTTACTGAGCTAATATACCAGCTTTAAAAGCTGATTCAGAAACCTTGAGAGCTACAAAACCCCCCATGAGGCCATTAACTCAAGCGTTCTTGGCACGTCCAGTAGCTTCTGGCACAAAGCCTTCCACGACTCGACCAATGATTCCATCCTTTCCTGAAAACTACCCCACTTCAGAGTCTTTAAAAAAGCAGACATCCGTTGCTAACTTTTCTGACGAAGACACTGCAGTTGAGAAATGGCTGAGAGGCGTTCTGGACTCCAAAATAAATGCCACTTGTTTTCCAGAAGACTATAATGATTTTATATATTCAGAGCTGGACGCTTTGAGCTCTAGCACAGTTACCTACACTTTTAAAAATAAAGGTTTTTAATTGGTTATTGGATTGGTTGTACAAATCTAAGAAGAACATTTAACTTGTATAGAGCCTTAACATTCTGTGGAGATTTGTTAAACTTAACTTAGATTTACCTTAAAAGTTCTTGACACTTGCATATCTCATTTACAAAAGATTTTTTTATCTTTAAAGACTCACTTAAAGGTTCTTTCAGGAACCAAAAGGGGTGCATTGTAAGCAAAACACTGATACAGGGGTCCAATAGTTCTTGGAAACACTGATACAGTATTTAAAATATTCCTTAACGGCTGAAGATCCACTTATTATGCTTTCTTCTCAATATTATGTTTTCTCCTCATTGTTTTGTTCAGCCCAGTGAGTTTAAGGCTTGTTACAGTGTCATGTTTCAGAGAAAATTGGGTAATGGCACAATTAGATCAGCCCTGTTGTGTTTTTGGTATTTTTTTCCATCCATGAGAAAGACTTTGATGTGATCACTTGTAAACCCTACACCCTTTAGCGTAATACACTAAAGCTTTTGGGTGACCTTAGCATCTGTTCCAACAGGAAGCAGCTCAACCCCCACCATCACTATCCCCACTCAACCCACATTCAATCTGGATTAACACCATCTACCTCTCTCCTTCTACCATAGCTTCTTCTTGTAGCCAAGCTCTGAACCGTGGACAGGTCCCCATGGAAAAGGAAGAGCAGGCTTTTCTTCTCAGGGATTTGATTGCATGAGAGAGAAAGCCTTTCCACCTTTCAGAGAATGAACAGCCTCCCAGTGGGAGCCTGAGCCTATCTGACCTCCCTCTACACACATACACAGAGCCCCCTCCTGTGCTGACCGTGCCCTCCATGAGCGGAGAGTGGGAAACACAGTGTATACAATAGCCGCTGCCACTGTTACTCTCTCTCTCTCCTTTTTATTTAGACTTTTGGGCAAACCTGTTGGGATAGCAAGAATGTCTATTGTTCTCCAGTGGCGTCCTATTGTGGGAATTCCGGCATTCCACAAAGGCACTCCCTGGGTAGACAACTAACCTCATGAAGGCTATAATTACACTATGAATGCACAAGCCTTTTATCCTAATGCATGAATTCACAGAGCAAAAACAAGGTCCATACAGGGGCTTCTGGAGGAATATAGTTACATAAGGAC